TAATGAGGTCTTTTTATTTCAAATTTAAGAGGTGGGTAGTCATGTACGGTTTATTGTGGTCATATTTTGGGATATCAGGTTTTTAAGTCATATAATGGGAAACTCCTTCTCTTCTAGTAATATTGCAGTAAATTTCCCTAAATTTTATCTCTACACTTCCTTAATTCACGTGCTGGTCAAAATTTGCACCTCAATTCGGGACGGAGGGCAGTATATTTTATGATGGAGTCGGCATCTGGAAATTTGGAATGATTTTGGGGTTTGGAGCAATATGTGTAAAAATCAGTTTTTTTGTTTTGCACGATGGTGAACTATGGGCTGTTAGACATCGAGCATTGCACATGAATTATGGTCGGGTTTCAATGTCAACTTAAATGACCCCAACATGATGTGGAGGACTGAACCATATATTAATTGCCATGTGTCACAATTATTTTAATGTTGACAGCCTCACATTAAAGATGCTCTAATGTTTTGATACCACAAATTAAATCATTTACTCCGTAATAAACTTCCCCGGAAAGGGCGTGATGAATTCGGATGTGGCATTTATCTCCTCCAGCATCACATCTCTCTCATCTTCACCCTAATGTCTTCTTCTAAAATCAACCTAGGGTCTCTTATGTTTAGATTTGCCGCCTCTGTTCCAACAGAGTCGTATTTCTGGTCCAGGCTAGTCCTCAAAACACCTTCACCACCCGTTCACGGTAAAGCCTTCAGCGGCGCCAAACACAAAAGATCTCAAATCAGCAAGTTCGTCAAGTAGAGTTGTACATCAATAGCGATGGCTAAAAAAATACTTCATCTAATGTAGGAGTAGTGTCGGTAAATATGTCTATCTTTCTCATTTTATTTCACATTCTTAATCTCCAATGTCATGCAGAACTGTTTTGATAAAATTATAGTTGTGCATGTAATGTCGGAGCTTTGAAATCGTGTAGAAACAAAAAAATATCGTTGATTTGCGTTTATATAGATATGAATGGAGGTACTTTACATTCTCTGTTAAGAGACTTCAAGATTTTAATTTTATATGCTTTATTTTTTATATATGACCACACACTAACACTAATCTGAAACATAAGTTTGTGTGCATGTAATTTCTGAGTCGAAAATTGTAGAGAGCACACTATCGTTCACTGATTGGTGTGTGTTTGGATCTAAAAGGAGGTATCAGTGACCTGTTTATACTCATTTAAGATTTCAGTGCGATAATTTTTTTAATACATACTACGTATATAATATTGATTTTAAACTGATTGGTGAGATTTTGTGTATCAGTTCAAATTGTTCCACTGTTCTTTTAATACTCTTGTTCGGTTTACTCAAGAGGAAAAACTACAATGTATTTGTGCTTTTAATAACATATAGTCACCGGAAATGATTCATCTTATTTTCTATTAATGTTTGATTTTAATCCATGACTCATCATAACTTGATAAACATCCAAACATTTATTTGAATTACTTTTAGTGACTACATGTACTCTCTTTTTTGGGTTTAAACTTTAAAGAACCCTATAGTAAAGGTTGCAGTTTGAACTTGTGAGGTTTGATTTTTTTTACCAATCCACCAACCATGGGGATGGATGGATGGATGGATGGATGGAGGGACGGATGGATGGATGGATGGACGGATGGACGGACGGACGGACGGACGGACGGACGGACGGACGGACGGACGGACGGACGGACGGACGGACGGACGGACGGACGGACGGACGGACAGACAGACAGACAGACAGACAGACAGACAGACAGACAGACAGACAGACAGACAGACAGACAGACAGACAGACAGACAGACAGACAGACAGACAGACAGACAGACAGACAGACAGACAGACAGACAGACAGACAGACAGACAGACAGACAGACAGACAGACAGACAGACAGACAGACAGACAGACAGACAGACAGACAGGCAGGCAGGCAGGCAGGCAGGCAGGCAGACAGACAGACAGACAGACAGACAGACAGACAGATAAAAATCCAACAACTTGAGTGAAATAAAAGCAACAATCTGATCTGATTTAATATTTAGGATATAAATTAAATGAACTTTTTAAAACTCTATTTTGAATTTAGTAAGTCTATCCATCCATATATTGACTTTATTATCAAGAGCTTCAAGTTGAATTTTTGCAGCGCAACTGCGATTATACATTTGTATTCTATTTGGCAACAACTAATGTTGTTTCATAACAGGCTTTACATGATTGCGAAGGTAAAATCCTTATCTATCCTTGACTTTGTCTCTATAAACTCTTACCATTATTGTATATGTTGTGTGCTGGGGATTATACCTAATCAGGTCACTTAAATCATTTCAGCTAATGCGTACATAAATTATGTTGAATCAAACTTATCTCAACCACCCTCCATTTCTCCTTTCGCCACCTATCCCTCTACCCTTAAATGCTCACCCGCCAATGACCCTAACATCTAATTTTACATTTCATGATCACTCCAACCAAAGCACTATTTTTGCCTCATCATTACAAAAATTGTGATGCGTTTGCTCTCCAAAGATTTACTTTTATTACAAACATCATCTATTTATAACATTTTCTAAATTAATTTTTTGTAAAGGACTCATCTACACGGATGAATTCAAGAAGAAGATTGAAGCCTAGTGCGAATCAAGAAGCCTGTGAGAAATAAAAGTGAAACGAGGAAGAAAGAAGAAAATGCACAAAATTGAATTGAAGAATATAAAATGATTACTTATAAGTGAGTTAACCGGTCATTGCAAATGCAAAAAGTATAATAATTATCCAAAATAGGGGTAAATGGAAACATAATTGCACAAATAGGACTAAAACTAAATCTTTCACAAATAAGACCAAACATTAATTTTCTATCCTTATTACCCTTAATCTAATCAGTTCATTGGCCTCTAGTCAGGGGCGGATCTGGCATAGGACCAGTGAGGGCCTAGGTCCAACCTAAAAAAAAAATTTATTAGTATGTATATATATATATATATTATATATGTGTTGTGAAGAAATGGTATAAGAACTGCAAATGTCAATATGTAAACAATATCCAACTTAGGGTGATGGTAGAAGCCTAATGTTGAAACGTGGAGGTAAGGTGTTTGAATCCTAGTGGTGAGAGCACTAAATTTGTTTATTATTTTCCAAACAAGTCCCAGAACATATTTTTCACTTTTTCCCCAAGCAATCTCTTCTACCCACATCGGAACAACAGTAGGATTATTCCTTCAAAATATCTATTTAATATTAATCTGAAAAACCTATTAATTCAATTGATTGGGCACTTTTAATGTTGTCCTAAAAATTAATTAGTTCAATTCATTGTGATTTAGAATATTGGTCTGAAAAATTAATTGGGTTTCGTAGGTGAAAACTAGTTTTTTTACACATAATATATATAGATTATAGAGTTAAAAAAGTTTGGTTTATCTAATTTCCGAAAAACAGGCCTAAAAATTGGTACTAAACATTTGGATAACTGATAAAACTTCGGTTCAATTTCTATGACTTTTAAGATAAATGTATTGTCGGTTCAATTATATGAACTTTTTTCTTTGACATTTCTATAATATTATTATAATATGTTTTGATATTTTTTGCAATATACACTATTTAATACGCAGTAAAAAATTTGGCCCCATCTGAACGCAAATGCTAGATCCGCCCCTGCCTTTAGTTCCCTGTAGAAACCGGGGCAGTCTAATCCATTGGTGGAAGAGCACTACAAGGTGGCAGGGCAGTCCGGCGGCGGCTGCCGGCGGCGGAGTTGCAACGCGTCTCTCGGCATGAAACTGGCAGAAAAACAAATATGGAAATTTTAACTGGATTTCGTCGGCAACAGTGGCCGTCGGCGGAGGTGGCCGGTGGCGGCAAGCAAGGTAGCTCGGCGATGGGCGATGGCCGACAGAGGTGACCGGAGGAGGATGGTGGTGGCTGGGCTAGGTAGGCAAAAAAGCTATAGGCTTATATTTGTCCAAACACACGTGATAGTCATATTTAGATAATTCAAACAATATAGTCATATTTGGGATTCTTAGCCATATTTTTACTCTTATTTAGGTAATTCACTCATTTAAAAACTTTAAACAATCGGTAAATATCACAACTTATAATTCAATTATACAAAGGTTGTGTTTTTTATTGATTATTAAACAGAGGGACCTTTTAAAGCAGACCGGATAAAGGTCCAATTAATTGTAGTGGAGTTTAATCCAACTACGCTACGAGGGCTATATCTATGAAAGCGGATGAAATATGGGCCACGTAAGGCAGTGTTTATTTCTCGGAGAACCGATCCCTAGATAGGAAATTTACAGAAAGTATTTATACTCTAAGAGCTAGTACTCTAGGAGGAAACTGATACAATAAATGTTATTCATTACCATAAATGCTACTTCGTATTAATTACACTCAGAAAGTATTTTTTACTTTTATATAAGTTAATTTTTTTTCTTTTTATTATAAGTTAAAATTTGATTATCCTATTAAGTTATTCTAAGAGTAGAATAGGCACATAGGATATACTCTTAGTCCTATTTTGGGAAGAGAAATACCATAATTATATCTATGCATTTAGGGATATGATAAGTAACTTGCTCTTGAATATACATGTAAACAATCAAACAAACAAACACTCTTCTTTATGCAAATTCTTACGGAGTATGATTTTAGTCATCTAGGAGGAGAATTCTATAAACTACTACCATATTTGAGCTAGACTTTTGGGGTCGAATACAAGCAGTGATCTAAAGTGCGCTAGACACTAGGCGAGCATCTACGTGAGGATTAGTCGGGCATCAATAACAATTTGTAAAATGCTGAATAGAACATTTAGTTCAATTTCTAAATTTCAAATGAAGTCATTAGTATTAACTTTAAAAAATAATTACATGTCTCTCCAATTCTTACAAATGATATATAGTGATACAAAGATGAAATAATGACAAATACATAACCGAAGTAAAAGTGGTGGACAAAAAATAAGACATAATGATTATTATAGTAACTTTAGTGACCATGATTATGTTCAAATCTACTATATATGATTACTCCATATAATAATATTTGTATCCACTAATTATATTTCAATAATATTTAATGGAAAAACCCGTGCTTTCACCTTGTCATTAACATATGCAGTATAAGACATATAATCATGAGTTGAATCGTAACAATACCTATGATATGGACGATATCGCGATAAATTAAAAATTACAAAAGTTTAACATATGGATTAAAGTTCTTGGAATGGATCGTTTGATTTAGCTACTTGGTGTATCATCATCTTGCATTAACCGAGAATTGGCGTAATATGCCAGACCGACCAAGGCACCATGAGTAAACCAAACAAACCCTCCTGCGAATAGCAAACTGGGGTGAGCGATGCGACACAATCCATCAGAATAGCTCAGCTTTTGTCCCAACACAGTCACTGCAATTCCCATTCCAAGCATGCCCCTACATACACAGTCAAATATGTTTTTGTTTAGAAGTTTATCTCCATTAGCTTCTTTTTTCCATCGGTCACAATCTCATACTCCGTACTACGTATTATATTTAATTTGATCATATTTTTGGGTTAAAGGTTCATTATTCCTACATTATAAATTTGGGTAATTCCCCGAATAGAAGTAGTATAAGTTTTAAGATGGGTGAATTCCCCGAATAGGGGTAAAATATATGCTAAATGTAAAAATAGAAATAGTGTAATTACTCTTACTCTTTATTATAATAAATACTCCCTCCGTCCCGCTATGATTGTCTCATTTTACTATTTTGGTCCGTCCCATTTAGCATATATTTTATGCCTTATTTGGTAAAGTTTGTGTGGTTCTAAATCATTCCTACTTTATTCTTACTTTATCAATTCAATATCAACCACATAAACCCACTTTTATTAATAAGCGTGCCACCTTCTCTTGTCCCAAACTTAGAGGGACGGAGGTAGTACAATGTTAGGGCTCCCTAATGAGTAAGCCATTATTCCACAATTATTCTTTCACATGGTATCATCAGCATAGGCTTTAACACCCTAGCAAATATGCCATCCTCTTCCTCTCTTTCAACGGCGTCCACACATTCGGTGCAGCCGACCCCTACCAATACGCCGCCGCTTATCAGCGCGGCCCTCCAGACAAGCGGCGTACCACCGCTTACCAGCACGATCTCCCAGCCGCAAGCGCCCAGCCGAATGGAGCAGCTTTCTTCCTCAGGCGTGACTCTCTCACCGCAACTCTCTTCCTCCTACCGGATGCATCTGCTGCCTCCACCGATCGGGTCTTACAGGCTTTTCAACTTGCCTGACCCCTTCACTTGGACGCCCACAGTATCAACAACGACACCGGCTTTACCTTCCGCCTCATCTCTGTCCGCGCCCATTGCCCCTATTCACACCACTTTCACGGGCCCCACCTTCAATGGTCAGCCGGGCACGTCCCTCGTAGATGTACCTTCAACGTCGCGGCAGCCTATTACTCCGGTAAAATCTACTCCTCTGTCCACTTTACTGTCGCATTTAACGTTCTCTACGCCCAACGTTACTAATTTTGTTACCACCCCGGTTGGATACGGTGGAAGATTACTTGTTGTGGAGAACTCAAGTTGAGTCTTTTTTGGTCTCTCATGGTTTATTAGGTATTACTAATGGTTCCATCGCTGCCCCGTCCCAATTTATTTTTGATACCATTAATCGTGAAGCCCCTAATCCTGATTACCACTTCTGGCTTAAAATTGATCAAACTGTTAGATCATGGTTGCTTGCTACACTTTCACGCAATATTTTAATGGAAGTTCATACTCTCCATATTTACTTAATTTGGGAGCGCTTGGAGACTAGATTTATGGCGGCTTGTGTGGCTCATTCTATGGAACTCAAGTGTATTTTAAACAATCTTAAAAAAGGAGGATCAATCAATGGATGAGTACTTGTGTGAGATTATTATTTTGACGGATTCATTAAACTCTATTAATTCCCCGGTCAGCAATCGTGAACTTCTTGAAGCCATAGTTCAAGGCTTCAAGTATGAATATGAGTCCGTCATTACCTCGGTTACGTTATTCCCAGACATCTTCGCTTTTGACACCTTACGCCCACAATTAATGGCACTTGAGTAGCGGGCCCTTTACCTTTGTTCCCAGAATCTTCTTCCAGGCCATCGGGCGTTTGTTGCCCAAGAACAGGCCGCTGCAGTTCGCCCTCCAGTCCGAGGGGGCGGTCCACCGCATGGGAATGGTGGACGAGGCTATCGCGGAGGCGTGGCAACTGAGTCCGCGGAAGGGGCTATGGAGGCTAGCAGGGACCCGGATATGGAGGCCAGCATGGGACTGCATATGGCGGGCAGCAACAACCCGGTCCTTCCTTTTTTGCTCTAGCTCACGGTCAGCAGGGGTCGCCACAGGGACCTCCTTCGGGTTATGCACAGGCTGGATTTCTAGGTATGTCATTTAGTAATTTTGGGTCTGTTTTACCTCGTATTAATGCTTTATCTACTTGTGTTACTCAACCATACATCGTCGGATTTCCTACTGTTGAGAATCATTATCAAAATCCTCCTTCACCTGTTGTCTGTCAGTTGTGTTATTCTCCCGGCCACTCTGCCATTACTTGTCCTCGCTTTACTAATCCCTATACACCAGCTCTGGCGGCAATTCCCACAGGTGAAACAAGTGCGTACGTTTGGTATCCTAATTCGGGTGCCGCTGCTCATATGACACCGCATGAAGGTATTTTATTTAATAAATCTAATTATACTGGTCCGCTTTTTGTTCGTGTTGCTAGTGGTCATAATCTCATTTTTTCTCACATTGGTAATGCCACTTTATCCATTGTTAGCCGCCCGCTCATATTAAAATCAGTCTATCATGTTCTGCACCTCTCATATAATTTATTGTCTATTCAATGTTTGTGTATGGATAATGATTGTTCTGTTATTTTTAATAAAAATTATTTTTTTGTTAAGGACAATCACACGGGAGCCATTCTTCTCTGGCTCATGTAGTGCCCCAAGCCACCCGCCTAAACTCCTGTCGCTGCTACTGGCCGCTTGAATCCACTGAAAATTTCCAAAATGCATCCGCCACCATTCTGTCACCGCCAGTTTTTGAAGCTTCGTCAGCCCCGCTCGCCGCTTCCACCACCATTGGGCTGACCCTCCACCAACAGATTGACCTGATTATACAAGAGAACTAAGGGGCAATCAATTAATAATATTAAGGGTATTAAGGGTTAAAATTACTACCTCCGTCCCTCTATGTTTGGGACAAAAGGCTGTGATGCGGTTTTTAAGAAAAAATAAAACTGTGTGATTGATATTGAATCGTAGTGTGAATAAAGTAAGTTGAACTCTAACCACCCAAATATTACCAAATATAGTATGAGACAAACTTAATGGGACAAAAGAAAAGGTAAAACGGGATAAAGTTAGGGGGTGAAGGGAGTAATGTTTAGTACTATTTAGGAAAGATTTAGCTCGAACTCCTATTTGTTCAATTACTTAGATTTAGCCTTGTTTAGGAGAACTTCTCTTTTGAATTCCCTACTCTTTCAATCCTACTAATTCTACCCTTGACATGATGGTTTAATAGGAACTTCTGTTATTTAACCACCTTCCAGAACTGCCAACTGTGAATATGAAAAAGGAAGAATAAAAGGAAAAAGATAATACGTAGTAAAATTTTAAGGGAATTTATCATTTGATATGATGTATTCTCAAATTTGTAATCAATTATATACGGAGTATAAATAAAAAAGTAAAGCTAGCTAGCTAGTGCGGGGTATTAAACTTTTTGATGAATTTTTTGATGAATTTTTTTGAACATCTTATTCATTAAGTCTAATTCACGCATACCAAATTTGAGATAAAACTTCAATCGGAAAGACATTCAAATGAATTCTTGAAGATAACTGTGCAGTTATATTGAAGAATTCATTTTTCATTTGGTTAAAAGAACCAGCTAGAATGAAACACAAAGCAACCTGCACCGGCTTCTCCCACTCATCATTAGGGCCTACAAGTTTTCCAATATTGTTCGTGGGCACAGTGATATACGAAGTATGTTAAAATTAAATTATTCTTTGAATTGTGTGATTCTTAAATTCAAAGACAGTAGGGTCGTGGGGAAGTATGTACTGATTGAAGGGGAGGAGACAGAGTTTGATGTATATGAAATCACAATCGAGAAATGAATGAGCGATCCAAAGGGAGATGAGGAAGGGTTACTACGGGAATAGAAAGCCTGGAATCAAGGGACTGAATACTATCGCTACGTCAGTGAACGTTCCAATTCAGCCAATTTATTCTAGCTCAAGCTTTCTTTAACCCTTTCACCAAACAGGACTACTTTACATAAAATTGGCTGAATTTAAAGATTTTCAGCCTTTTTTAAGCTGGAGTGACGTGCCAAACATAACCTTAATCTAGTTAAAGAAATGGAGCAAATAAAAATTAAGGAATAAATAAAACATACCAAATGAACAGAAAATAAGCCATTGCATACAGCTTATTAGAAAGATCCTTGTAGATGACATATCCAAACGCGAGAGCAACAAGTTGAGCTGCGGCGACACACACTGGTGCAATTATAAAAGGCATATTTGTCATGGAAAAATCTACTGCGGCTCTACAATCAGACAAATTCCCCACAATGTTCTTCATCCCTATATTCCTCACCTATATTCATACACCACTGTTATTACATTCATCCCAAAACAGCTAGCCAAGAAAACCGGATGATGAGTAAAATTGTTTAATGATGTCATGTCGTACCAGAAAACATGATATATAGAGTAATCTTTCGGTGAGGATTTCCGGCCGCCGCGATTTGATCGAGGTGATTCCCGATGAAGTTTTGTGGACATAACCTTACACTTTTCTGGTCCGGAATATGTATTTTCCGGACCAGTTAACTTGCAAAAATCATTTGACGACATTTTCGATTGAATTTTTTGCTAAAATTTGGTATGGATTAACTAGACTTGATGAGGAACATACACAAAAAATTTGGGCAAAAAATACCACCGGAAAGGCCCCAAAAAGAGGAGGCCGGACGGCGATCCGGTCAGGAATTTCCTGACCGGAAGATTACTCTCTATATGTAAATCATTTTTCCAAGTGGTGTCAATATTAAATTTCAAAAAAAATTATAAAAAGCATATACTCCGAAATTGAAAATTTTCAGCGGTGTCCATTGACACTACACAATACATACTTACTCACGTACCTGAATATACTGAGCTCTGGCTGCCAGAATCTCCGTAATTCCAGCTACACAATCCAATCCGACGGTAATACTAATAAGAATCACTCCATTGTGAGAAGACATTTTAACATGAACCAGGTTCTTAGACTCTTAGTCAATTAATTCCTTTTCTCTTCCTTTCGTTGGAGAGAAGATAAATATAGAATACAAACACAACCCCAGACGGCCATTTTATTTATAGTCGACCGGTGTGGCCGGTGGATGTTCGGTTTTAGTCCTTTTCCTTTATCGTATGGTACTATGGTACATAACGGTCATAATGTCGGTCTAGAGTCTAGACATTTACAAAATAAAAAGCATTTTAGGGAATCAATTATTATGTTTAATTTGGAATGATGAAAGTTAACAACCATTTTGGCACAGTTTACCATTTTGAGAAATTTCACTACCATTGTCTCATTACAAATTCGATAATGTTTGTGTTGATCTAAATCATTCTTATTTTATTCTCACTTTACCAAATCAATATTAACACATTAATCCATTTTTGTTAATAAAATGTGTCACCTCCTCTTGTCTCATTGTTAGTGAGACACTGGAACGGAGGTAGTACTACGTAATAAAAGTGCAAGAAACTTAAGTCACTGTTGACATAGTCACCTTGATCGACAAGTGTACAATTAAGAAAATTAAGTCTATGTCTTAAATTAAAAGTATTGGATTTTAGTGCTATGTATCTAGACTCTAGAGTGGTGTAACCAAATCTTTTTCTGAGGGCATGCTGAGATCAGTCATGACATAAAGTAGTCACTGTTGCATTCAACCCGTGATTATTTTACCCTTTTATTTTCTTCATTAGACTTTTTCATGACTTTCCACTCCGTATTAAGAATTTTACCATGAAGCTTCGCTAGTTTTTAAATGGCTTTATAGCTTTGATTTATATTTGATCACTAAATTCACTAAATAAATACTCCATAGTAAAGTCACAATATAAAGTTCACGGGTAAATAAATAACAATAGTACTATATATAGCATCAATCCAAATTCATTAATCATAAATTCAAATAAGTACACTCACAAATAAATCATACGAAGTACTCCATAAATCATAAGAATAGCACTCCATCACACTAATTCAACAAAACATATACTCTCATAGTTCACTAGATTTGCAAGAGGCAGGCAGCACCGCAGGCCTCAGCAGTCAACACTTTTCAAGATTCCAACACAGCACTGGAGGCGAAATTCTAAACAATCCGGCTAACCGGTTTCTACTACGTCAGTTTTTGGGAAAAGCATATTGAAAACCTAACGAGGCAAGGACCACCGAGCAAATGAAGGTAAAACAATAGAATTGGATGTCGTTTACCATAGAATTGTCATTTTATTTTAGCGTTTCTGCATGTCCTTTTTACTTAAAGAAACAATGTAGTTTACATTAATGAAATTTTAAAAAAAAGAAGCTTATTTCATTGAGCAGCAGAGCACAGGGAAAATGCGGGTTATACCTTCCGCGTCGACCGTAAAACTTCAGGAGCGTCCACCGTAAAACTACATATATGTACCTTGACTTTCCGGCGAAGACGAATAGAACTTGAAATCGGCGGTCAGGATGACGTCCTGTCAATCGTTCAAGCATATCTTTTTGTATAAACATCCAACATACACGATTCAAGTTCCATATGAAATCTAACTTCAAGGGGTACAAATCATATGAAGACACCATTACAAGAATCTGAAAGAAGCAAGGTGAAAACAAACGAGGAAGTCATATAATCGCTGTCGAGATTTCAGGATGCGACCTTCCACCATGTTATTCATATCCTTTTGTTGGATGATCTGAATCCCATTTTGCAAATTGTGATGGATATAAGACTTCATTAGCTACAACTTTGGTCAAGGAAGTATAGTCAAATTCGGATGGGGTAGACGCACGCTATGCGCCCGAATTCGGGCACGCCGTGCTTGCTGAAGGAAACAACGTTGGAGCTACTGCCGGTTGGGCACGCGTTGCCTGCCAGGGAGGCACGCCGTGCCCAGATCTGAAGCGCGCATATGCTCCGGAGGCACAGACGTTAGGAACGTCGTGCCTAGCACCATGCCTGCGCCGGAAAATCCCAATTTAGCCCGGATTTTACCGTTTTCTTTAAATAAGGCCTCTATATCCCCGTTTGAGGGTGACAGAGCTTAAAGAGAGGCCTAGGGACGAAATTTTACATATTTCTCCGCTCTATTCTTCAAGATTGAGGGATTCTTTGTAAGTTCCATCTTTTTAATTAATGACAATTAATTCTTTTCATCCCAATTCTATTGTTGATTTAATTATGAATTGTGAGTAGTTTTAATTAGGGACTTGGGATTGGTGAAAGGTTATTCATGATGTATGGTTAGTTTCTTGATGGTTTAAATTGCATTAATCTTTATTTAGTTTGTGTATGAATGATTTAATTGATATCTCTTATAACCTAGAATGACCACTAGAATTACAATTGCATGTAAAATAAATTAAGAGAGATCTAATTTATTCTAGGACACCTTCACACACACTTAATATTATAAGTGATTTCAGTTACAAATAAATAACTTTAATATTAACTATGAAAAGTTGTTAATGAAATTACCTATCACTTATTAGGTGTATTAAAAAAAATTTAAGTCTTACATTTGAACAAATTTTAAACAGTTTCAAGGAAAGAAAAAAAAAATACTCAAAACGAAGTAGACATGTGGGATTCGAACATGGGCAAACGGCACACGCGTTCTCAACACACTTCAACAGTTGGGCCACGGCGCTCTTTGATTAGTTATTCGATTTTAAGCATTATTATACTATAAATATGACAATGATGAATGTACACCTAAAATTAAATATATATATATATATAGGGAGCGGTTTCGGTAAGAACAGATCTAAGGAGAAAAATGAGAACGAATCTGGACCATTGGATTGAATTATGTGGAACTGAATTGTGAATTTGGTGAAACCAAAATGTGCATTAGATGATGTTGAAATGTGCAAAATAAACATTTAAACTCACATGTGCATTAGGTGAAACTGAAATGTGCAAAATAAAAGGTACAAAAATAACATTACATCGTACCTTTTATTATGCACATTTTAGTTTCATCTAGTGCACATTTCAAGTTCACCTAATGCACAATTTAGCTTCACATAATGCCACTATATCATACCCTTTGTGCTGCACATTTCAAATTCACCTTATACACATTACAGCTTTATCTAATGCACATTGAATTTCACATAAAGCAAATCTAACGGTCCAGATTCGTTCTCATTTTTCTCATAAGATCATGTTCTTATTTGAACCAAAACCTATATATATATATATATATATATATATATATATATATATATATATATATATATATATATATATATATATATATATAATGGGGTTGGATGAGGGTTGAGTGGGGGCAGCTGCCCCCTGCCCCATAGTAGATATGTCCCTGCTTCCGAAGACAGCAGTACAACACAACACCCATGGCGGCGGAATATCATTAGAATTGGATGTTTTTAGTTTTTACCATATAATTGTCGTTTTATGTTACCGTTTTTGTCGTTCTTACTTACACAAACTATGTCGTTTACATTAATAAAATTTTAAAAACAAAAAAGCTTATTCCGTTGAGCAGCAGAGCATAGGGAACATACGGCTTATACCTTCCGCGGAGAGAAATGCAAGAAAGCTTCAGTGAATGTTAAACGTCGATTGTAAAACTACATATATGTACCTTGACTATTCCAGCGAATGGGGAGCGCCGGCACCGGCTCTCCCCCTTGTTCCGCCGTTGTGCATTCCTATATTAGCTTACATGTGTCCCACAAAATCAAAATGAGGAGAACGAATAGGAGGAGTGCGTCGAGATTTTTATGTAATCGGGGTTGGATATAGAATAAACTGAGCGGTAAGTTTTATCGAACATATATATGTCATATGTGTGTCTTGCATTATTGTATATTGATATATTGTTGGAAAATATAATATTGTCACACTCAAAAAAAAACAAGTGTGATTTATATTTGTATGTAGCATACATATTGAATGTATGGAAACTCCACAAAAGACCGCATAAATAATGAGACAATTAAGCAAAAAGTGAAAGCATGTAGCGCTGACGGGCACTTTGTCACGGTGCGTCAAAATAAATTCAATACTAACACTTATACGTAGTATAGGTGAAGTAGAGTTCGTATCCACAGGGAAAGGAATAATTCTCTTTTTAGTAAAACTAGTAAATAAGGGGGGTTTTGGGATCGAGTGATTTAATTAAATTAAACACGAAGATGAACGAGTTATATGTGATTTAATTCAAAGATAAAAAGGACTTGGCATTGCTACTTTCCACTTGTTGATATATTTTAGTCGATCATTGTTATATCTATAACTTATTTCCTCTCGAATACTCAATCGAGGAGTATATCCAATTCATCGAGGAAAGTTATTAACAACGACCGTTCATTAATAACCCTTACTATTAGTCAAGTATAGAACAACGCCATATACCGACTTGATAGTAGCATTTAATCTCTTAACTCCTTGATGAAATCAATTGAGATTGATAACCTCAACACAACGGTTTCGGTTTAACCAACAAAATTAATCCCTCTTAAGTTTATTAACCACGACCGTGCATTAATAAACCGAAGTTACTTACTTGTGAAACCATCAACGATTAACCATCGGTTCGTTGATCGTTTCTAGTAATAATTAATATATGAAACAAAACTAGTTGATCCTTTAAGTAATGTTCAAAATATTAATATGAAATATGAATAGGAATTAATTAATACTCAAGGAAGAATATTAAAGAAAATGAATCCTACTTTAGTTAATATCAAGATGTTAACTAATTGTCATCTTAGTAACACTCCCCAATATTAACATAGAGGAAGGAATAGCTATTACTAAGACCAATGTTAAGATGTTAACTAATTGTCATCTTAGTAAAACTCCCCAACATTGATATAGAAATAGTATTTAAAGGAAGAATTAATATTCAAGGAAAGAAGTTAAGAAAATAACTCACAACTTTAATAATCAACAAGCTTCAAGAGCAACGCCAAGAAATGGAAGTTTAACTCCTCATTTGGAGACTAAACATGCTATAAAAATATAAAAGAAATACTATTCTAAACTGAGCTTAAGAGTATGGAAGAAGGAGTTATG